ATCACCCCCCAGGGAAGATGGCCATGCCGCAATCCCTTCTCCTCCATTCTCCTCTCAGGATCTTGGGCACGCACGCACACGCGCCCGGCCTCAATTTAAGTCACTGGGTCCAGGACTCGAACCGCAGTCGCCTACGTGGGAGTTCAGCGACATAGCCATTACGCTAACTGCTAGTCCCAAGCTTTTCCTAGTTCTAACAGCCAGAGACGGACGGCTGCGATGCCAAGGGAAGGTGCGTTTCCTTCCGTCAGTGACAGTTGAGTTTTGTCCCAGGAAATGGTCCATCCTTTCCTGACAATTTAAGATTGAAACTTCAACAGAGAAGATGCGTCGACTATGGTACAGTGATACCAAAAGCTTATAAACAACTGATGGAATGAGTAAACAGATAGTCCTTCGCTCACGCACAATGTATCAATCTGATCATGCCTTGCATAGGCAGGTGAGTGATTTTTCAGCTTCCTTCTTTGGCTGTCTTGATCCTCCTGCTCCCATATTTGAATTGCGGATTGTGTTTCCTCTTAGGCTACACTCTCTTTGAATGTGGCTCTGGCCTTCGAGCTCCGGCTTCCTCAGGAGCATGGGTCTCCTTCCTCGCTCCTTACTTGGCCAGAGCAGGCGTGAGCTGACGGGCTGCTCTCTTTCTCTCCGCGCGGCCCTTGGAAAGCCCCAGAGCTGGCAGAGCTGAGTGTCAGAGGGACAATAGTGAGTCAAGACCTGACACATGCCTGGGGCAACTGCTGGCAGGCTTTGGCAGGCTTTGCACGGCACCCGGAGATGCCGTGCACCCTTTGCAACTGCTCTATCTTCCTCGTCATCTCGTAAGCCTGCAAACACTGCCGTACACAGGTGGCCCGCCGGCCACGTGCTCGCTTCCCCCGCCCCGCCAAAAAAAATTTTTCTCTTTTTTTTTTTTTTTTTTTTAAGAGAAATCTTTGCTATAAGTCGCATGTGTTCGCTGGAGACAGAGAGAGGCAAGAGAGAGAGAGAGAGAGGGAAAGTGAGAACTCACCTCCCAGTGGAGATGGCCGCACGGCAACCCCTCCTCTTCCATTCTCCTCTTGCAATTTTGGGCACACACGCCGGGCGTGAGTTTCAAGCTGCAGATCCAGGGCTTGAACCGCAGTCAGCCAGCCGTGCGGGAGTCCAGTGCCGCAGCCACTATGCCATATGTTGGCTATTGTAGCCAAGTGGTTAAGGAAGCTGGATCCCACATGGCCAACTGCAGTTCGTATCTTGACCCTAGCGCCTTCAAAAACATGCCAGGTGTGTATGCCTGTGTGGCCCAAATCCTGGCACGATGGAGAATGGAGGACAAGGGATTACACTGTGACTGCACCCCATTGGAGGGTGTTTGTCCAGCCCCCCATCTGTCTGAGTCACTGTCAGATGAGCTCACACGCCCTCTGGCAATTAAAAAAAAAAAAGCCCCAAGGAGGGTCATTATATGGATTTAAATAGATTTGATTTA